GTATCATAGCCATGATTTAGCATTTATTTTTATTGAACCGTATCAAATCGATTTGAAATATATTGTATCGAATCGAACGTGCACCGTATGGAGATATGTATCATATCATGGCCTATGTATCGAGGCATGTATTGTAACTTCTTCATAATACCCAGCCATACTTGTTTATCAGTTGAGTGTATTCATTGTATTTAACTTATTTGTCGTTTGTGCTCATGTTAACTTTCAACATTCTATTTATTTTGGATAGGAACATAATGAAGGCAATTTCTCCGTTTCAGCATTGGTGAGCTGGCTGTTATGTGATGTAATGAGTACAGGCTGATGAGACACGATATTGCACAGGATTACTCATCATATTATGAAAGAAATATTTTTGGATGCTCTGTTTTTCTCAGAATGAATAAATCTAACACAAAAATTAAGAAATCATAATATGGGTTCTATTATTTTTATATTGAGGAATGATTTAATGATATGTCTGTTTATACATATTTGTCTATATTTGTTTTTGTGTAAACTTGTACTTTTCTTGTAAATTTGTGTTAAATTTGCTTTTACTTTACTTGAAAAGTGCTGTATCTCATTATTGCAGTCTTAAAGCGGTGAATTTTAACTTTCCAAATTCATTCCTGGTTTCCAAATTATTCACAACAAAGACTTTGGAAGCGTTTTTTCACAACTTTCATAGGCCACAGTTTTGCTTTCACAATAATGCTGTGAAGAACAACTTGCATACTTCCTGGTTTGAGGAGGATAAAATGCTGTATAATTTGATGGAGACAGCACAAAGTGGTCTCTTTGACCCCAAGAGCTGCTTTTTATTAATAATAATAAAAATGATAATGATAAGAATCAGATAATGGAATTATATAGCACTTTTCTGGACACTCAGAAGCTTTATAGAGCATTATTCATTCACTCTATTTACTCTGCCTCCAATTCACTTTCTATTGCAAAAACACATCAAACCTCTGTCTGTAACCACTGGTGTGAGTCAAAATCTTAAAATGTTCGTATTAGGGCCTGTTTACACGAGAACGCTTGCGGGTAAAAACAACAAAATATTTCATCTGAAGTGCCTTTTGTTTAGATGGTGACGGCGTTTTTAGGGCTAAAAAAAAAGCAAAAATCTGAAATCACCCTCCAGAGTGGAAAAGCTGAATACGCTTTGCTGTACACTGTTTCCGTCTACACTGCTCAAGACGCAAAACTCTGGTCAGATCTGCTCATGTCGTGTACACATTTATGTCACATACATCACCACCGAGCCGCCTGGCACGCATTCCCAATCAAATTCCACACACTTTTGTGTGACTGTATGCGCACATATTTCCTCCCGAAAAAGCTCGTCTAAACATGGAATAAAAAGTGAAGTCGCAACGCCACTTTTGCGTCATCTTTTAACAGACCATGGATCTATAATAAAAACTGGATAAGACATTCCCCCTCTGTCCTGCTCAAGACTGACTAGTGGCCACTCTGGGTACTGCAGCTCCCGGGAGCTTGGGTCCGGAAAGAATTCTCCCATAGAGAATGAGGACATCGACAACTTTCACAAAGGTCGGATTTTGTAGAGATTCCTTTCTGTTTTCACAACATAAACTTTATACATTTTTTTCATTCCTCAAAGTGCTTAAAATTTGGTTTTGTAAGAGTTAGTCTAGCCTTGCTCTGAACCCGTGCTCGCTCCGCTCTAGCAGCTCTCACTCTGATTGGTCAAAAAGCTCCACGGCCTGCAAGTTACAGGTGTCACACAAGTGGTAGGAGCTAGGCTGCATTGAGGAAATAAATGTGGAAGTGAAAAATTTTTTTGGGCTCATGCGCCATTGAGCACAGGCCTCTGAAAACAACACGAGACCATTTTGGAATCATCTTCCAGATTTTATTATAGTTCTATGTAACAGACAAATCAAGTGCCGTCATCCCAAAGGTCTCGCCCGCTGGTGTTAGCAACAGTTTCGATTAATATTGTTGCTAAGCTCCCGCTGCCTGCCGTACCAGCAGTTGGTCACTTATTCCACTTCTTTATACAGCCTGTGGCGCAGCCCCTTTAAGATTGTCCTTATTGTACCGCTGAACTATTGAGCTACTGCGTCCAAGTTATTTCCCTTGTGGATGAAAAAAGTTTGTAGAGCTCTAGATATTTCACTCGTCCCCATCTCAAATTAACAACAGACGTTTATCGCGTGGTTTGATCGTCAACAACACATCTCATCTCCGCACACATAAATCTGCATGGGAGGCCGCAAGACTTGTCTTCCATAACCTAACCCAATTACCCAAATATGTCATGACATCATTAGTCATTCTAGCCCAAAAAAGAAAAGAGTAGTAGTTCAAACACACCCCTCCTTCTCCTCCTCTTTAACGCCTCATCCCTCCCCTCCTTTTCTCTCTCTCTCCCTGCTGCATGCTTCATTGTACACTCACCCACAAAGAAAAGCATAGCATAGCGTGCCGGAAACTGAGTCAATAGTTGCCAAAGTGGGTCCCTGCAGGCTGGCTGGCCCTCAAACAGTGACTGCACCTTCTCAAATTAGGTTAATTTGTCTTTGTACAGAGGCTGCCCGAAATACTGTCATGCAGGCAAGATACCGGATATGAGCGAATAGGCTTATCTTTAATAAAGCAGATATGATTGTAACATAGACTACATGATAGATGTTACATTAATATTGAAAGAATCAGGAGACTATTTTTGTAATATATCTGATTATTCAAGAGGGCAAAGTGTATTTTTTATTTTATTAAATTTTTTAACGGATTCATTGAGATTTTGGGGCCACTGGTCGCTTTTATCAAGTTTTCACACATGTTTTTTTTTTTTTTTAATTTAGGTCACATACCAAACATGATCATGTAATCTCAGTGACGCATGTGAAACAAAGGAGATCATTGGCCATCTTTCATTTACAAGCAAAGTTACTTTCTCTTGCCTCAAATTAAGTTAAGTTTAATGCTTCGTTTATTGATCTTGAAGAAATTTGCAATGTTTTCCAGTCCCCTGTCATTAAAAAAATATGTTTCCTCTCTTTTTTCTTTGTAAACAGCCATGTTTTTTTGATACAGGCGGACCATGTGTGCTCCTGATTAGTTCATCCACCTGTCAATTCCACTCATCTGAAAAAGGGGAAATTCACCAATAACCAGACTCACATCTCCATAAAGTATTTATTTAAAACCGTGTGTATTCTGGATCACAGCTGTATTGATGTCATTCTTCTTGAGATATAAGCTACCATTTTATTTTGAAGGTAAAAACTAGTTATTATAAAAGTAGCCCACAAATACAACTTTTTGTCAAAGATCTAATTATGCATCTCTGTAAAGTGTGATAAAACTGATATTGAAATCATGCTCGTCCAAAGTTAGCCACTGTTGCTATGGTGGAGTTATTTGTGGACGTGACTACATATCTTTTTGTGGATTTGTCGTGCATGAAACTAAAAAAGCACAGTAGGAGGAGAAGACGTGAGTGGGAGATCCATTTGCATCAGCCCGTCTGTATGATGAAGTGACATACCCAGAAATATGCATCCTATCAGAAGTGAAATCACTCAGTGTTCCTCTGCTCTCTGCGTGAGTGAGTGGGAGAGAGAGCGTGTGTGGGCTGTGTGTGCTTTGGTCGCTCAGCCAAACACGAATGAGAGTAATGATATCATGCAAAAGATATAAAAAGTGTCACTTCAAACATCTATTACCATGGAATGATCGACCGCGTAAAAACCCCTTTGGGAATGTCTGGCCGTTATGACACATTAGTCCAGATTCTGAAGTGACTAAAATGCACATTGGACAAACAGGACAGGCTGAAGCATGCAAACAGCCTACTTTACTTATAACATATTTCAAATAAAGTAGTATATTTTCTCTTCAATCAAATTCAATATTATTCATGAAGGGCTCCGTACTACTGTAAGAGAGAGAGAAAGATACTCTATTGATTCTGAGGGAAATTCAAGTTGTGCTGCAGCGAACTGTTGCAGTTGCTGCTGCAGTAACATTTCCACTGTGTGCCTCAGTGGCCTTTGTGTCTCAGTCAAAGGTCTTAGTTTAAAAGGAGGACTGGTCAAGGAGGGGCGGCAGATCCTGCGGAAGAGCCAAAAGTTTCCCTTCTCTGTGTCCTGCAGCATCACAGCAGCCTCCAGGGAAACCAGGTGCACACAACAGGAAAAGCCTCGTATAATTAATAATAAATACATTAATTAAAATAGCCCAATACATAACAAAGTAAATTATTAAATTGTTATTACAGACATGAATAACCGATAGAAATAATGTAGCCTAAAATAAAATATTGTCAGAGATTGGAGCTGTTATTAATCACTTATTTATTTATTTTGTCCAAATCTTAAAATTCTATTTAAATGCTGACCACAGACTGTATATATGAGTGCAAGAGCAGAACTTCAGCATAAAGCATAAACTGTATTAAAAAAAAAATACAGTCAGACAGTTTTTTTTTTTTTTTTTTATATCAAAAATGTATTTATTAAATAACAAATTGTAATACAGAAAATAACATAACAATATACACACAAGATAACAAATAGAATGCCAGGGGGAGGCATACATGTAAGAAAACCTTAATCGCCACTGTTACATTATAAAAAAATATTCAAGGACATACAACTCTCATATGTCAAAACAGCTTTTTTGTTTACACTTTTAGAGATAGAAGATAAGTATAAATGTAATTGCTTAATTAAAACAGGAAAAAATAAAGAAGTGTGAAAGAATTTACATTTGTGAATATAAAATTTGCCAAATACAACAATTAAATTAATTACCATTCTTTTATTTGGGTCTAAATTCTTTTCATGTACACCAAAAATAATATGTTCAAATTTTAATGAAAAGTTAAGGTCTATATGATATTTGATTAAAAAAAATACGGTTTATGATAGTGGCAGCTTCTATTCGTGACGTCACTGCGTCCAGTGGTAGCGCTGCGTCGTAGCTATAGCAACAGCTAACATCTCGTGCACCCTGCCCTATGAATCTGTGCCCTGCCCTGGGGGGAAGAGAAATCTTTAAAATAATGTATTTTGGGTCAAACTAACGCAAGTTTCCTTCAATTTTATAAACAAAAACAACGACTGTTAACCATGGGTAAGTAAAGGTTATATTTTCAGAACTTCTAATACACAGGCAGGAATGTTAGGCTTGCACAAATGCACAGATTTATGTGTTTAAAGCGCTCACAGCTGCACAGCTCGGTGTTTAATTGCATTTTGTTAATTCCGCTCGCTCTTTGCACCTCTTTTTTTCTTCTACGTTGTTTTTACGAAGTGATAAGTGCACTGCGCTTGCTAATGGCCTATATTACTGTCTGTTGGAGGTATACCACACTTAACTTTAATTTTATTGTCCTTTTATGAAGACATATGCCTGAGTGCGCCAACTATTTAGCTCACTAGCTAGCCAAACCTAATAAAACAAGTGATAATGTTACGCTATTGAGCTCTTTGTACATTATCACCACGTTTTGTTTGTGTCGTTAGCCTGTCATCAGAGCAGCAGTACTAGCATCTAACCCGCTGTGTAACTTTAACTTTGCACATTTATTTGTAGTCCTCAGCTCGGTGACAGCAGCCCTGCAGTTTGTATTAGTCACATCCAAACTCGTGACTCCGCCGCTGTTGTGTGTGAATGTCGTGTTTTCCTCTCACGACTGCACCCGTCCGTGCACAAGAGACGTGTTGGAGCAGCTTGCAGCCTGACATTAGACTGATTAATAGTTCAATCAGAGCAGAAGTGGGCAAAGGCACAGGGGACCGGTTGTCATGCAAAACCCTCATTTCCCTCTGCTTTCTCTCTGAAAACGTGAGTATGCAAAGCTGGGAAACAATACAACAAATTGGAATATTATTGAGGTAATGAAAGTGTAGGGGTATGATACAACAACATGGCCTGTTCATACTGGCCAGTTGTACTGTATTTTCTGCTGTTTGTAATCACATTAAGAAGCTTGAAGGGATTAGCCAATATACACTTATTTTTGACTATAGATGTCATAATTAGGTATGAAGGCCTTACTTGTTTAGACAGTGCAATGGTGTCTTAGTCCACTGATCATTTTATTTAGATTATACAGATTTATTTATATATTTGTGAGCAAGTGAGTTATCTGACGATTTGGTCTTTTTTGGTATTTACATGTAAAAGGAAGATTAAACTCATGATTCATGTTCACATTCATTGTTTCCTAGTAAAAATGTTCCCCATAAATAGTTGTTTTTGCATGCATATGTAGTCTTGTGAGTGCAGTTTGGGTCAGATACATAGAGATACGCAATCGTTTTAGAGCTTTTCAGTCGACCAATCGATTGGCGGGACAGGTATTTCATTTTAATTTTAGTCAACTACAGCCCTAGTAATAATATAAGTAAGCATTTACGAATAACATTAGACATGTCATACTTGCAATATAGAAATAGTTTAATTTTTAAATCTAAAATGTTCATTTATTTGTGGTGGTCACAAAATATAATATATGTTTTTAGGCCTAAAAGAGACATTTTTGTCATCCATTTTTGCTTGGCTTCAGATGATGTCACATTCTTTAGGCCAATAATATTTAATACAGATGTGGACTGCTAGAATGGAAATTATTGTAATGTGGATTTTTAAAAAATGTGTGTAGGTTTGGGTGTTGTTGCCAATAGAAATAATCAGGTTAAACTTTTGTGCATTTACATTTTGGATATTTCATGGCAAAATTCAGTGTTTTATTGATACAGCAGATGTCAACAACATTTCCAGGGGGTGTGATGATAACTGTACTGACCAAAAAGAGCAGATTTAGATAGAAATACAACTCTCACACATAAAACTACAGTCACAAGCTTCACTAGTACATATTTACAGTTCATCACTCTCACTTTTTTGTTGAAAATCAAACGCCTAAACATGACCATGAATTCTCGTATTGATGAATTCTCCTGAAAATTTGTTGTTTCAATCCCTTTTGTATTTTAAAAACTTTTTTGACAGTGTTTGCAAATGTGTGTGTTGTGTCTCTATGGTAACGGCTGAACATTCTGCCATAGTGATACGTGTAGATCACCCCCAGAGTGCAAAGTATCAAACAAAAATGTCTCTTGTACGCCACCTGGGAGAATGACTTCATCACATTCTAAAATCTGAAAATTTTGGAAGCTAAAATTTGACAGTGTTTCCTCATGCATTTTAAAAGCAAAATAATAATTCTAACACAAAAGAATTGACATGTTAACACCCCTATTACCTTCTCTTAATAATAGAAGCACTTGTTTTTACCATCTTTTATCAGCTGTCTCCTCTCTTCTCTCACTTAAGGTCCAGAGGCCATGTGAATCCATCCACGCAGACAGCCGCAGACCCTCTGATAGACCTGACCTGCTCCCACACAGTTAGCCCAGGGTATTTAAGCGGAGGTTAAGAGTCGCGTTGACGTGATGTTTTTTCCCCTGGCTCTAATGGCGAGCTAATAGATAAAATGCCCCGTGTTTTGGCTCGTGGTCCCGCTCTCCTGTCCTCATCCGGCCTCACCGACTAAAATGGAAATTGCTTCACAACCTTTATTCACCATAGACATCAGGGTCAAACAACACATAAGGCTCATTCCTCTCATTTAAAAGTAATTGTGGAAAGTGCTTGCTGAAAAGTTCCCTGTTACCGCTGCTTGGGTCTTTTTAAAACTTGCCCTAGAGGTTTTGTATAAGCTTAAAGTACATATAACAGGTTAGATTACTCTTTTCACTAAAACATACTTCACATCATTATATTTAAAGAGGGGGGATTATGTGATAGCGCTCTGAAGGGGGAGTGACTTAGTGCGGAGGAGACTAAGGAGAGAAGGTGAAATCTATAACACGTTAATAAGTAATTTTCGCCGAAATGGCATTTTCAAAACATGGTGATCTAAATGTTATGTGTTAGCAGATAACACCCCATAGAAGTAAAATACCTCCTTAAGATTTACCTATTTTTTTCTAGTTTTTATGTTTATCGGCAGCATTTGACATACATAGCAGTAATTCCAGTTTTGTTACCTAGCAACCACAATGTAAACAAGAGCCGAAACCTGTCTAAAATACACAATAGTTATGATTAGACTAATAAAAATAGATGACAACACCTTTTTATTTTGTTAAAACAATGTTTAATCCTCCTGAGAAAATGTTCCTTGCATGTAAATTGTCCCTGCATTTTCAATGAAATTTTCATTGTTGTCACGATAGTAAAATTTCACTTGCGATTTTGATAATCGTAAGGAACAGAAATTGCCGATATGATACATATCTCAATACATAGGCCACGATACGATACATATCTCGATACAATGCACTTTTGATTCAATACGATATATTTTGAATTCGATACGGTTCAATAAAAAATAATGGCTAAATCAATCTTTCATGTCAGTCTGTGATACTGAAAGCCTTTGTTAAACCACTTCTTGTGCAAAGTTCATATGAAACACAAACATTTTAATCCTCAAAACAGTGAATATGTCAAATGTGTTCAATAAAAGTTTCCTTTCACTAAACAAGCAACAAAACTGTTAGGCAGGCTGGCGCCAGTGCCTCCACTCAGTTTCATTTCTCTCCAGCGACTAGGTCAGGAATCGGAATACACTAGACGGTTCGCAAAAGCTCCGGAAGTGCAAGTTCGGGCACCAGTCAATCAGCGAAGAGCCATACATTGTGTGTTGGCAACAATTCCTGAGCTCGAGGATTTAAAGCCGGAACAAAAAGAATGTTTGGTGAATTTTATCAAGGGGAAAGACGTTATTGCCCTTCTTCCTACGGGATTTGGGAAAAGCTTAATATACCAGTTAGCCCCGTTAGCGGCGCATTACATATGTCACAACCAAATAGCAGTGATTGGTTAAATGAAAAAAGTATCCGCCTACCGTCGAGCGAACAAATCCTAATGCTGCGAGGTCAGATGGTTTCTACGAAGTGAAACCGGCTGATGAATCAGACTACAAAACTGTAGGGCTGTAACAAAATAATTTAGTAAAATCTACCAAAAAATACTCTTGGCGATATTTTGTTATCGAAGCCCACAATATCAATTCTGTATCATCAAATTTAATGATATGATATGTATTGATATTTTGATATTCTTACCCACCCTAGTAAGGAATAGACTCGATACTCAATACCGATTCTGATACCATAATGATAATAAAAAACATTCTTTAGACAATAGAACATTTATTCCCATGTGGTCTTATATCGGTGTAATCCCTCACTTGTTCAGGTAGGTTCCAAAGTGGTCCTTGAGTGTAAAATGTTATGCTCAAATGATTATCTAGTTTCAGTACTAGTTTTACTATTGATTACTCTCTGATTTTCTTTTATACTTTTGACAACCTTAATAGGTAGAGGTATTCCGTACTCAGCATTACTTCTTGTATTTTTGCATTTTTCTTTTAACCTTTTGTCCAAAAACTGCCACTTAACTGGTGTAAAACTGTGATAAATATTTACCACAGGTACTATCCCATCAAACCAAGTAATGATTCGAAAAACATTAAAACCTGCCATATGCGCTTTAACCTATGGGAGGTCTGAGCTGTGAAATGCCATCATCTAAAGTATATAGGCTTAGACCACATAAGCTTTACTGATTAATCTATTGAATTGAGTGTCTCGCAAATGGGTTTAATATGGTACACATCACGCTAGGGGATTTAACATTCACCTCGTAGGTCATTACTTTCATGATTTTTTCCCAGGTAGTTTTCCATTCCATCTGCACACGGACAATGGAACATATGACTGACTTTGCATGACACTGTTGTAAAGGTTAGTCCATATGGCGTAAATGAATGCAGCACGGGTTGTTCTATTTCTACTACACAGGACAAAATAGACGGCCTAAAGCACCATTAACTTACAGGTGGAGGCAGCGCGCCAAGCTGTGCAGTAATGAGCCAGCCACGGAGAAGAGGGAATAAAAGCGAAACATGGTTGTAAAAATACAGGATGTAGCTTTGTGCTTTATGAGGATGGAAGTGATGCTTTTATATATGTTATTTTAGCTGACAATTATAGTAAGTCTAAGTTTGAATCCCAAATGGCAAAGGGCATTGTTGTATTTTTTGCTGCCAACTGGCTTTTATCTAACTTGTATAAAAAGCAGTGCTGTAGTACTATAGACTAAATGCCATGGACATAGTTAACCTGCCAGTCGCTGCGTTCCAAATAGGAAGTGAGCGCTTCCGGCTCCATCGACTCTGGTTCCAATTCACTTTTTATTGAAACAGCATCACACCTCTCTCCATAGCTGCTGCTGTCAGGCTCCTCATTTTGGTCTTAAATTATATTAACCCGCTCTACATGATCCTGGGGTTTTCATTTGGATACTTTGTCCGTAAATCAATTTCTCAGCTAAAATTCGCCCCATAACTGCAAACTTCGCTGAGCTTCATTTGACTGGAGCTGAACACTATGGGTGACAGTACACTTCCTTAGTCCACTTTCTTCTTTATACACTCTTATACTTTTTATACTAGTACTTAACACAATACTGTATCAACTTGTATGTGAAATTAGTGGCAAATATTTTGATTTTGCATCATATACAGGTCATTATTAAAATATGAAGTATATAGAAAAGATTTTCACTTAAAGTATGAGGTTTCAGTGGCCACGGTTGCAAAATCTGTTTATTTGGACTATTTAAATATAAAATCCCTCTCTGATTTTGCAGTTTGCATGTAATTTTATTCTTAAATGTCTTCTTAAATTTGGATACTTTGTCCGTAAATCAAATTCTCAGCTCCAAATTCGCTCCATAACTGCGAGCCTCGGTGAGCTTCATTTGACTGGAGCTGAACACTATGGGTGACGGCACACTCCCTCAGTCTACTTCTTTCTTATACTTATACTTTTTTTATACTAGTACTTAACACAGTACTATATCAACTTGTATGAGAAAGTAGTGACACACATTTTGAGGTTTTTTTTTTCTCTTTGATTACTTTGCAGTCTGCATGTAATTTTATTCTTAAATGTCCCCAAATCAGATAATACTCATCAGATTTGGTTTATGTCAACAATAATGAGTGACTGGGTGATTGTGCTAGGGAGTTTTTTATAATCATACAAACTAAAATTTCTTTATTATGATTTGACTATTAAATGTTGCTGTTGTGACAGATTTACTTGTAATAGTAGTAATAGTAACGGGATTTTTGGTAGTAGTAGTAGATGTATTTGAGATTCTGTATTCAAGTCACTTTGTCATACTGTGAAAACAACAGTGATCTAGAAGAGAACATCATGGATAAGTGGCTTTTTTCTGCACAATCTGTTAGTAAAATGGTGATTATCTTTGTTGGCAAATATCACAGTTATACAAAATGCACCACAACCCATTTTTGTATTCTTTTATTATGGTCTCAATCAGTATTATTGTTTATTGCCCCATCCCTAGGTTGTACTATAGTCACACAATGGCAGGAGAGTACATTTTGAAGCCTATTGTTTGCTTGTGGTTCTGTTGTACTAGCCTCTCCAGCAGTAGTAGCACTATTCACTTTGATTGCCTGACTGCTTTAGTAATAGAAATCTATTTGGCTCACAGTGTGCTGCCTTTTACTACTGTTTTGAAAGCACCAACTAATCAATGGCTTGTCACAGTGGAAGCTTTGATTATTACTCACTGAGGTTGAAAAACACACAACAAAAGCAAAGATACAGATTTGTTGAAATGAAAAAAGCCGAGTGGGTGACGCGTTTTCACATGATTTCCGTTTTATTAATACTCAAAGAACATATGAAGTCATGTTGTGGCGATCTTGTTTCTAGGCGACGAGCGAGGACCTTTGGAGGCATCTGATGAAGAGGAGGAAATGAAGGTGTCTCTTCACAGCACCCCCCGCCCACTGCCTGACGCCATCAAGAGGGTAGGCAGCGCCGCAAATAGACATCCTGGAAATGCACTTTATTTTAGGTTACTTCAAAAACACAGACTAGAACGTGGTGCTATCTTCTTCTATTTCGAGGATAAGTTGACAAAAGCGTAGATTAAAGCTTTAGTGGATTCATTGATTGATGGAGTCTTAGTTTACTGTTGTATACTATATAAGAATTTTAGGATTTGTGCATACCACAACAAAGAGAACGCATGGGATGAGTTAAGTGGACCTTTTGAGAGCTTTTTGCTAGTGCCACACCTGGTTCCCTTTTAATGGATTAATTGATGCACAGATTAGACTACTTTCGAACTCCATTTCATACTAATAGTCCAGTTCACTATATACTTTTATAAGGAATAGACTCTCTTTATTTAGACAATAGAGTGTGATTTTCAACATTAAATTATAATACTTTCTGTGTAATCCCTCAGTCGTTGAGGTAGGTTTCATAGTTGTCCATGGGTGTATACTAGTCTATGTGCTCTTATACTTGTTCCGATACAGCTCAAGATCATTCTAACACTCAGGAAAGGTTCATTTCTGTCCTGTGAATGTGACTTTTTTTATTATTGATATGCTCAAATGAGTATCTAGTTTCGATACTAAAACTAGTATCAAATAGTATCTGATAGGGATGTAACAATATCCAAATCTCACGGTACGATATTTATTGCGGTATTTTGAAGAGGCTGATATAATTGTAGATGAGACATTTTTTTGCTTTTTAAAATACCTTGACAAGATTTTAGTGTGAATTATTACCATCATAATCCTGAGAATTCAAGTAAAAAACATCTATCTCCATGTTGTCTGTCTGTTGTCTAACTGAAATGAATCATGGGATATGTAGTACCCTATGTTTATAAGCTGTTGCTACTATAAAATCATGCATTTAAGCAAAGGAACTTGTGATTTAATATATTGTGACAGCCCACGATATTACTGTGAGACTTTTGACAATAGGATATCACAATATTTTGGTTATTGTTACATCCCTAGTATCTCATATTGATACTTTTGACAATTCTAGCACAGAGCAGAGTTAACCAAGAATTACTTTAGTTAACTACAGCTTGGAAAGAGTATAGAGCACTTGTACTTTTTGGGTTGGGTCCTCAACTTGTTAGTATGAAAAACACAATGATTTTGTTTTTCAATTCTTAAAGCAAAGGTAATGTTATGGTTAAGCACTCTGGCATGTTTTTGGTTTTGTAATAGTAAGAGTATTATGGCATATCTGATCATGCCCGTTTCCATGTATTGCCATGATAATAATAACGTGTTACTATCCAAGTTCTAAGCAATACGTCACTTGAACATTGTTGATGGATGAGGAAAAGTAAAAGTAAAGTAAAACAGACAGTACTGCGCTGAAGTGCTCAAGAAAACAGATAAAATGCAATAAAAGAATAAAGCACAAGTAAACACAATAAAACAAGGTTAAAATCAACTCAACTTAACAGAAAAGCACCAATCTATGCCCACAGAATCCTACATTTTATCATTTTAGTCTGGTCATCACTGAATCTTAAGTTGAAATGGCTGTGACTGACAGGTGGATTGGTCAGACAGGAACATGAATGGTCTGTCCATATCAAAACCAATATGATTGCTTACGAGAAAAAAAAGGAGAAAATATCACAGGGGACTGAAAAACATCACAGATTTCTGCGGAATCAATGAGCAAAGCACTAAACACTGTTACTCTACACTGAAAAAAACTAATGTTATTGCATGATCACACTTGTTTGTGGCCCGAGATGTGCAGAGGTTCAAAAAAAGAGATATTGTGCATCTGATTTGTAATTGCCAGGCAACCAAACTATAAATAATCTGTTGAATTTTCTATGATATGGCTCCCTTAAGTCTACAGGGCCGACTGTAATGAAACAACATATGCCTGCTCCACATTTGATATTGTGATTAGCACATTAGCTGCAGCATGGATCCCATATGCCACAGTAATCCATATGATGCGAGGACGGGCCGGGACAGTGCGTCTTCTTTTAATCTTCCATCTGCTCTGTGTGTGGAGCTGCAGGAGACGTGGAGGATGACCCCAGCGCCTGTCGCCCCTGCCTGGGCTCTGTCAGGTGCTCTTTACATTACCATATGATGTGCCATATGTCGCAGATATGAATTCAACTGCCTCTTTGCGCTGTCTTTAAATGTGATCTCCTTCATTTGGGCGTGAAGGCGTTTCTTAGTAATTTTAGTGTTTTACAACTTTAAATACTTTGATCTAGTCATGTCACAGTGAGTATTTTACTGTACGAACGCCTTTTGTACAAGTGTAGGTGGTAAAATGTTGACTTTACATTTGTTTGTAGTTTTATAATATTGTGAGGAACATAATGTACTGTAGGAGTTAAGATGGTATTTCAAAGTACAGTGTGTAGTGTGAGTTGGTATTTGGAGAATGAATAGTGCTTTTTCCTTTAACAGCTAAACTTTAAAGAGTCTGTGCCTCCTGTGTCCTTGAAAAACCATTTGTGAAAGTAGTACATTCATTTTATACTGTTAAATTCTCTGTATTTCATTCCTTTATCCAGTGTCACTAGGGCAAGCTCTTAATCCTTAGATATGACATACTGAGCCGTACTGCCTGAAAAATAATATTGTATATTATGAATGTCATGACTTGTTTTGAAAGTGCATATGCTTGGATTATAGTAGTGAAGGGCCAGCTGTGCAGTGTTGGACTTCATGCAGTTTTTAAGTGCACAAATATCCTGTGAATTTATGGCAATGAATCACTGTCTTCAACTTTTTTTTCCAGCATGCCTTTTTATTCTATATGATTTCAACAGTTCAACAAGCACAATATTGTTTCCTCACCAAAAAACTACCTGGAGTTGTGTTTTGTTTCAGTCACTAATGTTTAACACACAGATCCTCCATATTTAGGAGTTCTTCTCTCAAACAAAAAAACACTCTGTTCCACCTTGTGATGTCATGCGGTAATACAGGAAGTGCTCCAGTTTTCAACTCCATACACCTTCACTTGAATCATTTGGTTGATTTCAGGCTACCTTTACATGATGACGAACAGAAGACGCAAAAGTGGCATCGCATCGTCACTTTTTATTCTTCGTTTAGACAAGCGTATTCAGGAGGAGATCTGCATGCATATCGTGATGCAAAAGTGTGTGGAATTCAATTGCGTATGCGTGCCAGGCGGCTCGGTGGTGACGCTAGGTAGTGATGTATGTGACGTAAACGCGTACATGACGTGAGCAGATCTGACCAGAGTTTTGCGTCTTGGGCAGTGTAGACGGAAACGCTACGGCGGAGTGTATTCAGCTTTTCCACTCTGGAGGGTGGTTTCAGATTTTTGCATTTTTAAGCCCTAGAAACACTGTCACCGTCTAAAAGAAAGGCACTTCTGATAAAATATTTTGTCATTTTTACCTGGAAGCGTTCTCTTGTAAACAGACCCTCAGTCCTGGAATTGCCAATCTCCACTGAACAATAGGTAAAATGTAGCTTTTAACTTGAAAACTTGCACTTCATGGCGTCACAAGGTGGAACAAAGCATTTTGAGCTTGGATATGTAGACAGACTAAAAAAGGGTTACTCAAATGTCATGTGTGAATGAAACAAAACACAACTTCAGGTATGTTTTTGATGAGCTCACATGAGTCAATTTTGTGTAATATGGGACCCTTATGCGTGTTGCTAAAGGGCACTACAACAGTATACAGCAGCACGACTGGTGCCTCTGTGTTGCCTTATGAATGATGCATCTAATTTGTTTTACAACCTCTCTCATTGTGTCTGTTTATGATTTGTCACAAAGGGCATGTGATTACGAAAGCAAATCACCCTCCAACGAGGGAGTGAAAGAGAACCCTCTGACATTTCACCATGAGCACATCTCCCTCCCTGTGTCCTGCGCTGGACTCAGGGAGGGAGATGGACTGGGCTTGTAAACCAGAGGATGTTCTGAGCTTAGCCCCCTGCTGGGAATACATAACATTTATTGAACCAGGCTTAGGTACCGAGTGCAGAGCAAGTGCAGGGCTGTGGGCAGTGCCATGTTGTAGTAGAGCAGTCACTGGCCGCGTCTCATTTCTCTTTCCTCGCTTCCTTCTCCTTGATTCTACAGGAAATGGGTGAGGAAGTCCCACCCACAGAGGAGACAAAGCGAGGAGAGAGGATATAAATTCCTCACTAAGACCAATAAAGTTTGATTATTTTATGCGATAAAGCCTCCCTCGTGTTTACTCCTTCATTCTGTGTGTGTGTTGGTTTTTTTTAGGACACCACTTAATACGACAGATTTTATTCACAGCTGAAAAATGGTGGATCAAGGAGAGGAATCAGGGAGAAGGAAGCGAGGAAAGAGAAATGCGATGCGGCCATAGTGGGAGTAACTAACACAGGCATTTAAGTGCTGTTAATCCCGGTGAGCTGGGAGAGCGCTGGCACCGCACTTTAATGGTGGGCTGCTGGGAGGAGATCTCTGTGGTTACACTCTCTCAACATGCTCCCACCCACACAGGCACACAGGCTCGTCCAGGTGTTTACGAGGAGAGCACTCTAACATGCAGCCTGCTCACAAATGACTTTCAGAGGCTTTTTGTACCGTGGTTTGCAGTCTAAAAATAACAAAATGGGTAGCAATGTAGTTTTGTGAGTTGGTGAAATAGTTGGACTAGTTGAATTGGCATAGCCTGTTTTAGGGTGTGCTGTCATTAGCAATGGGTAATTAGGTTGTCAAATGTGCAATTAGAAGGTGTTAACTCTTTGTTTTGGAATGAAGTACTTTATTGGTCTTATAAATATAGTTAAAACAACACTGAAGAAGTAGCATATTATTAGTGATGAGTGAAATATCGGTTCTACATGGATATCGGCCAATAGCGATATTCAGTACCAATATTTTTTGTGCTCTGTGTGCCCCTTTTAACAGACTAATGCGTAAAAATGGAAATAGAAGATTGTTGCATGACTTTATGTAACACATTATTTTATATCCCAAATAT